CATACACCAGGGCTGGTGACCACAACACAGCTATCTGAGTAATGGTCTGTATCTGGGCCAACAGTTTTTAGACTTTAGTGTTTAATTCCCTCTCTCTAGTATAAGGCAAGCACACTTGTAATGTTGATCAGTTTAATAGTCGTAGATTCTTCCTTTTATCAAACAGCTCTTCCTTTTGCCACTTGAGAAATTTGGTATGTCCCAGTCAGAGACTGCAAAAACAAACGTTTTGGAGATCCTTTTTCTATTTGTTACTTCTTATGCTAACCCATTTACTCTGAGAAAATGAACCCTACATGTCAGTATATGGCACAGACTGAGGACTGATGCCTATTCAGTCTTGTTTCCTTCCCTGGTCTTTCCTGTGATCAGCAGAAAGCCCTTCAAGGCTGTGCTGAGGAGTTGGCCAAGACTCCAAAGAGGAACCACTTTCTCCTTCTTGTGGCACTTTACTTTCCTGAATTATTGTTGATCATTTCTGCATTCATTTTTCTTCTCTCTTTCTTTGGGAAGATCACTGACAAATGCTTTCTGCTTTGTTTTCTACCCTGACACACTGAGGAGGTCAAGGCAACAGAGAAAGACCCACTACTTACATGCCTATGAGTATTCCTAATAACCATAACGTGTCTTTCATATAGCAAATCAAATTATTAAATGAAGAGTGTGATGGGTTGACCCTGGCTGGACGCCAGGTGCCCACCAAAGCTGCTGTATCACTCCCCCTCCTCAGCTGGACAGGGGAGAGAAAATATAACAAAAGGCTCATGGGTCGAGATAAGGACAGGGAGAGATCACTCAACCAATTACTGTCATGGGCAAAACAGACTCGACTTAGGGAAAATTAACTTAATTTATTGCCAATCAAACCAGAGTAGCGTAATGAGAAATAAAACCAAATCTTAAAACACCTTCCCCTCACCCCTCCCTTCTTCCTGGGCACCGCTTCACTCCTGACTTCTCCACCTCCTCCCCCCAGCAGCACAGGGGGACAAGGGGTTGGGGTCAGTTCATCACACGTTGTCTCTGCCGCTCCTTCCTCTTCAGGGGCAGGACTCCTCACACTCTTCCCCTGCCCCAGCATGGGGTCCCTCCCACGGGAGACAGTCCTCCACAAACTTCTCCAACGTGGGTCCTTCTCACGGGCTGCAGTTCTTCACAAACTGCTCCAGCGTGGGTTCCTTCCATGGGCTGCAGTCCTTCAGGAGCACACTGCTCTAGTGTGGGTCCCCCACGGGGTCACAAGTCCTGCCAGAAAACCTGCTCCGTGGGCTCCTTTCCCCACAGAAACTCAGGTCCTGCCAGGAGCCTGGTCCAGCGCAGGCTTCCCACGGGGTCACAGCCTCCTTTGGGAACCCACCCGCTCTGGCGTGGGGTCCTCCCCAGGCTGCAGGTGGAGATCTGCTCCCCCGTGGACCTCCATGGGCTGCAGGGGGACAGCCTGCCTCACCGTGGTCTTCCCCACGGGCTGCAGGGGAATCTCTGCTCCGGCGCCTGGAGCATCTCCTCCCCCTCCTTCTTCACTGACCTGGGGGTCTGCAGGGTTGGTTCTCTCACATATTCTCACTCCTCTCTCTGGCTGCAGTTTCTGTGCCACAGCAACTTTTTTTTTCCCTTCTTCAATCTGTTATCCCTGAGGCACTACCACCATCGCTGATGGGCTCAGCCTTGGCCAGTGGCGGGTCCGTCTTGGAGCTGGCTGGCATTGGCTCTGTTGGACATGGGGGAAGCTTCTAGCAGCTTCTCGCAGAAGCCACCCCTGTACCCCCCCCCCCCCAAAACCTTGCCACACAAACCCAATACAAGAGCCATACCTTGGAAAAGCTACATACAGTGTAGTCTCAAGCCTAGCTTTGAATTTCCACATTTCCTGGGTACAATTTTTTATTCTTTCTTGTTTGATTGAAATAGCATTTCCATCTCCTTTTCACCCAGTGGAAGAAAAGGAATTAATTTGTTCCCAGATGTGTACATAGGACAGTGCAGTTGCGTAACAATTTCAAATAGTATTAACAGAGTTGGTGCTAAAATGAATTTTTTTTTATAAATGTTTAAAAAATCCCAATCTGTTTTTTACTTAATTAGTTGTTCACCACATAAATTTTCATTTCTCACTTTTACCTTCATCCTTCATCTTCCATTTGGCATACAAGGAAAGGGGAAACTATAAAAGGACATATGAAGAAAGAGAGGAAGAATATGTTTTATATCAAAAAAAGGACAGAAATGTTGTATGCTAATCAAAATTTTGTTGTAGTCATCAAAATGTTTACCACCAACTTTATTGAATCAATATTTTTGGCAAAATATTTTTACAAGCTCTAAAATGACTGTTGCTTCCTGGAGAAGGTGATGATACATTCATACCTGTAAAGTAGCTATGACGTAAGTGTCATTAAAGCAGTTGCACCTCAGGGGTTGGTCTAAGTGAGATCAGAGCCTGACACTTTGGGTGGAATTCACCTAACTGAAGGGATGTGTGTAGACTGGAGGTATCTACCTCGGAGCTAGTACCAGTGGGCTTCCTTCACATCCACTGGTGAGCCAGTCAGTGTGGTCAATGAAGTCTAGTCAAAGGCAGTGGTCTATTTTGGGATGAGAAGAACGCCTCCTTAGACACCATTAGTCCTGTTTAGCTCTCCATTGATTCTAAGATAATTAGCTCCATGGTAGACACCCACACTTACTAAGGTGAATCCCACATTATCTCTACCTTTATTAGCACACTTCAAAGTTACAGCCTCTCCCAGGAGTTTGGGGACAGGAAAATAGCCTTCATTTCTTCCTTTGAAGATTTGGGTTCTTTATCTGAAGAGTTTTCAAATATACTATAATTTAAGATGCAAACTCAGAACAAAACTATTTGTCTTAAAAGTGAATAAGAAATAATTAACTAGGTTTGTAAAAAACAAGAGATAAGCCCAGATGTGCAGACAGGTTGAACAGGCTGGGCACACAGGTGTTTGCCTTGGCCATGGAATAACTGTCAACATTTCCATAACAAGGAGTGTGGGATATGCTGCTTCTTGTTTCCTTTTCCCAAGTGCAGCATTGCAGACCTAGCATGGCTGTGGGAAGACACTGTTTTCTAGTTCAGCCCACATGCCACAATATCTAGCTGTTAGAAGATAGGTATGGCCCATGCTTTCAGAAGCATTTCTCTGGATATACATCTACTTTGATCGGAGATTGTTGAAGGCTGTATGCTACCTTTTGGTTCCTCATCTTTCAGTGGTGTTTTCCCATTTAGTACCACGCATTTAGTATGGGTTTCTCTTCCTGTTGTGAATATTTTAAACAGTATTAAAGGGAGCAGACTGGGAAGACTTGTGGGGTTAACAAGGATACAGGAGAGCTTTTCATGGCAAGGATGAGAGCTTCATATTCATCCCATATCAGCACCCAGGCATGACTGCAGCTCTTTTTGGTGGTGGTGTCAAAGCAATCATTCCTATCCAGTCGTGGAGAAAGAAGTACATAGAAGTGCTGCCCAGCCAACCCTTAATGAATGTTTATAGGATAATGCAGTAAGTTTCCTTGCTGCTGTCTCTAAGTACATGTTTTATCCACATCTTCAGGCTCTGAGTTTGCTAATGGTTTAATAATTCTTAAGAAAAAAATTATTAATAAAGTGTCATATTATTAAACTGGCGATGAACAAGACTGAGAAGCAGATTTTAGCTTTTATTTAACTGAGGGTTTTTCATAACATTTGTCATGAAATGAGTGTTTGCTCATTTGTATTTGATTTTAGTTAACTTTCCTGCTTCTCCAATTTTTTGAGAAGTGCCAAAGGCTTTTTTTCCCTCTTGTATATTTAACTTACTTCAAAGGCAACACATGAGTTTCTGTAGGATATTACCTCCCTTGCATAGCCTTTATCTAATCGGTTATGTGTGGTGTACAAGTGCAGTATATGCACATGGACACCCTTGAAAGATTACTAGGATAGCGTGCCAAGGGAGCAACAGGGCTGTAATGATGACTATTTGGTGAGAAATAAAACTATGATTTACAGATGAGCTTGTGCGCAACCAGATTAATTGGCCATTTTAAAGGAAGAGTGGATTCTCATTTTTGAGGGGAAAGGGAGAATTCATAGCACTATGAGTGGCAGCAGTTGCTGCCGCATGGTGACAACTAACAGTGGAAAGCACTGTTAGCTAACAAGGGTCCAACCCAATGTATCTTGAAGGCCAAGGAACTGGGCAAAGGTGTCACATAATGGAGGAGAGCATAAGGCTCTTCAGGTGCACTTGTAGTTCTGCTGAAATCAGCTGAGGGTAAAATCTGTCATTGCCAATGGGCTTGTGTACATTACACCTTTACACCTTCACTGTAGTACTTTTTCCAGCTGGCTTGTTAGCCCATAAATTCACCAAATTAAACTTCATCCCTGAATGTAAGCTGGGGGCTTGCTGAAGATTTGAGCCTAACATTATTCAGGAGAAATGTAAATGTAATTTTCAAAACGATCTTGCCACTTTGTGCATGTTCATTAGATGAAAACATGTTACTTAAAATAAATGTTCCTAAACTGAGGTGGAAAAAAAACCCAACAACAGGAAGTGTTAGACCATCTTTAAATTATCAACCGTTTATAGTACAATATAAAATGGATTCATATGTGCAAATCCAAGTTATGTGAAATGTCAATTAAATCAACCCTAATCTCCCAAATACATTTTTTATTGCCTGATTGATGAGGACTGCTCTTAAGGTGATGAATAGTTTTCACTTTCAGAAAGGACTGCTGATTCCTATACGTGTCCACTAAAAATACAAAAAATCCTTCAAAATGTCTGGCTCCGTTTGCTTTCAGGATCTAGATGAAGCAAGTGTAGGACACAATGTGGTCTAATATATTAATTGTGAAGATCAGATGTATAAACAATACTGTACATTTAAAAAAAGACTAAAAGTAAAACTACAGTAGATTAAAACTGTTTTATTTTCCAAAGGCAAAACTCTATATAACTTCTTTGTTTTCTTTCCTATAGCAAGTCCACATGCAACACCATCGACTCTTCATTTTCCAACATCACCCATTATTCAACAGCCTGGGCCATACTTCTCACACCCAGCAATCCGCTATCATCCTCAGGAGACTCTGAAAGAGTTTGTCCAACTTGTCTGCCCCGACGCTGGTCAGCAGGCTGGACAGGTGGGGTTCCTAAATGTAAGGAAGCCGTTTTTATTTCTTCAGAAGTGTTTGTCCTATGTAAAATTAACCATGGGATTATGGGATTATTTTAACAGCATGTTGCATACAGGAACACACCTTCAATAGTCGTTGGAAGAAAAAAAAAATGCTGCTACTGCAAAAATATTTAAAAAAACAACAAAAAAACTCCCCCAAAAAACCACTCGACCACATTGTGGTGAAGTTAAGTTAAACTGTCAGAGAAGCTGGTGATACAGTGACCTTTTGGGTCCCTCCACAAATGACTTTGCTGCATGCGTTGTAACCCTAGTGGAACTAGGGTTAACAAAATATGAAGGCAGAATAATTTTTATTAATTATTTTTGAAGTTCAGGGGAGAGGGGGGGGGGAGGAGCAGGAAAAGGGAGGGTGAGAAACAGATGTTTCAGATCAGCTAAGTTCATTAAAAAAAAAAAAAATACTGCCTTATAGCACTTTAGATCAAGTTGACCAGTACTTGAACTCAAGATGTTAAAAGTACAGTTTATTATGGTTTGTTATTTCTGTAAGCAGTTATCTTTTCCCCTTATCTCTATGAAAAATTAAGCAGAGTTCCAAAGCTTCAAATAACCATTTTCATTTTTTTTTAATCAAATAAAGTGAATCATCTTGCTATTATTGAAATAGCATTCCGGTCAAATACAGAATTTATAAATTTTATGTAAATCAAATCTAAAATAATGCTCTGAATATTTCATGAAATGTAATGCATGTAACTTTTTCCAGCCAATGAAGTAATAACTGGCAAAATTACTGTTTCTCTCCTGACATACATACGATTGAAAGTGTTAATGAGAATTAGTTTAATTATTAGCATCTAATTTATTACACTTATTTAATAAGCTATATTGTTCTCAGTGCTTTCCTTTCCCTAGCAGAAAAACTGACTCTACTTATTCCAGCCAGTACTGGCTTTGAATAATGTCTGCAATATGTTAGCAGATACATTTATGTCTAGACAACAAATCAATATAGTGCTTTTCTTTTTCCTTGAGTATTCATTTGCTTAATTTATCCCAAACCATTCAGCATTATGAACTGTTAGCACACTCACAATGAACATACAGCAGGGGTCTTCTTGGCAGGAAAGGGACCTAATTGTGAGACAAGATAGTGTTTGAGAGATGTCACTAATATATTAGTTTATTAAAGGTACTGGATGTTGGAAAAATAAATATCCCTGAAGGATTGCTTCTTACTGCAAACACTAGTAACTGCAGTCTTTGAAGTCAGTGGGAGTGCTTAAGTTAAATGCAGATGAATTTGAGTCTTATTTATGCCCTGAACCATTTTTGCTCTAGCACAAGTGTGATTTGCACCCACACGACTTTAAGGCCTTTTGTCAGTGCCAAAGCAGGTGAAATGAAAATAAGGTCCCAAGCGTTTGCCAGTACGAGTATTCTGTCCCCAGTAATTCAGGCTAATGGAAAGCCTAACAGGAATTAAAATATTATTTTCTTTAGCAGTACTTAGAATATGGATCTGTGTTTAAAGCTGAGCTTTTATCATCAATGGAAAAGCCAATGCTCAGTGCCAGAAGAACTGCAGTGAGATCAATTTGTAGAGTGCTGTCGAAAGTGATCTCATCATTTTTGTCACTAAAATGGAACACCTGATTCACAGGCTGTCCTACTTTCTCTTTATAATGGTAGTTGGCATCTATCCGTATGGTTTTCAAGTGTCCAGGCTGTGTTATGTTTAAAATGTAAACTTAACAAGTTGGAGGAAGGGGTGGCTTTTTTTTTTTAAGCCTGCTGCTTGTTTTTGTGATACTTGAAAACACTTTGACTTATGGACAGGTTTTTCTGGTGATTAACTGAAAGACCACACTTGTATATCTAGGTCCATTCTGCCTGTGACTGAGCACATCCCAGACTAAGGGAGGGGGGCTTTTTTCCCGATGTTTCCCAAAGTTCAGTCATTTCTCCATATGATCCTAATGGCAACTAAACTGTGAGCTGCACTATTGCTAACTCAAAAGGGATGTGGGAGACCAGTTACTTTAATATATACTCATTCATCTTCCTGTAATAAGATATCAGCATGACTTTTAAGACCACCAAAAATGCTTGTTTTTTCTCTTAATGACCAGTATCTTTAAGAAATTTACACTCAAGTCCTAGGCACTGATATCCTAAGGGTATAACAGAGGCACGAAACTGGGGATTTAAGGGGTCAAAAATACTGCTTCAGCTCTCACTGATCATGAGTTAGTGGCTGCAGGAAATGTAAAGAGTAGTAGAATTTAATCCAGGGCAGTTGAGACCAGCTGCTAATAGGACAAATGTTTAAAAGTGAGAATTTCCATAGTTTCACAAGGTTCACGGGGTTTGAGACAAAGTTCCTTGAAGTCAATGGAGAATTTGACCCAGCACCTTCTTTGCCACTTCTCACGTAATTGTAAATGTATTGCACATAGCTTTCAACTAGATTGTTATTGCTGGAGGTTCCTAATAGCTGATTTTTAGTATAATTTTTGTTTGTTTGCTTGTTTTTTGGCAGCCCAATGGTAGCAGCCAAGGCAAGGTGCACAATCCATTCCTTCCTACCCCAATGTTGCCACCACCACCTCCGCCACCAATGGCTAGGCCTGTGCCTCTGCCAGTGCCAGACACAAAACCTCCAACTACATCAACAGAAGGAGGGGCCACCTCTCCCACTTCTCCAAGTAAGTATAGACGCAGCGGGAACCAAGGGCTAACAGCAGCGCGCAATGTGCTGCGATCACCGTCTATCGGCTATTCAGAGATGAGGACTGGACTAGCTCTCGGGAAGCAGGAGAGCTCTCCACTCTGTATATGATGGACAAAATTCTGAGCTGCTTCTGTATTAATGAGAAAAGAGTTAGCTTAAGGTTACCGTTTTATTTCTGACTTTGTTGGCATTTCACATAACCACGTATGAGAGCAATCAAGGCCAGTAGCTAAGCTGTGACACAGACCTCGGACTTTTGGGATCTTGTTTACTGTCGCGAGGAGGCAAGTGGGTATCTCAAGTCGGGCTTTAGAAGATAGATACTACATGGAAGTCAGACAGATAGCCTCATCGAAAACATTGCTGCTTATACATATTGAGCTAAACTAACAACTCTTTTGAGTTCACTTCATTTATAGTTCTTTCGGGAATAAGTCTTCCTAGATTAACCCAGACGTTCTTCCCTTATGACTTGGTTCCCGAGCCCTGCATTTGGGGCAAGAAGCTATGGTATTTCTTAGGCCCAGGGAGAAAGCTTTAATCTTCTCTCCACCACCCACACGGCTCCCATATGTATTTTGTGTAGCCACAAGTCAAATATACAAATTCCTGGATACACACTTGGGGATACCACTTTGGACTCACTCTTCTGGGAAACAAATGCGATTCAGCTGGGTTCGATGCTTTAAAAAAGTCTGGATGTTCAGGGAGTTAATTGTGAAATGATTTAATGAAGCTATGCTCAAACTGACATTTAAAAACAAAAGGGAAGCTTTCAGTGCTTTAATGGCAACTGTAGGGGACTTGTTCCACAGTGAAGGGAGTCCAAATAACATCCACAAACAAAAATCAATCTAATCGAAAGAGCAAATCCCTTTGTGTGCTTTTCAAGCTTATTATTTAAATGCTATATGCAACCACTGCCTGATGTGCAAAGAGGTATTCACTATTCAGACCATGTGAAGCCTACATTTTTAAAGCTTTATATACTGTTCAGGAGATTTGCACAGGTTCCAGGGGGCTTTTTTAAAATCTGGTAGTTCTTGGAGTTTTGCATTTGCCTTCTGCTACGCGATAGTGCACAACTGCAAACTCAGCAAGATGCTCTGGCTCGCTTCAAAATTAAAATGGGTTTTAGTATGAGACAGTCTGGTAAGATTGTGAACATGATCTTCTAGAATCAGGACTTCTAGAATTGATCAGCAGATTTTTGTTGAGCTAAGAAGTTGATTCATTCCCTCCCCTCCACTCCTCTTTCTGACCTTAGACCAACACTTGTGCTATCAGGAAGTTTTGACGCTTTCTGACAGGAGATACCGTCTTTTAAGTCCTATCAATAAGATTCAGTGGTGGAATCTAAAAGGTTAATGTTTAGTCATATTTATCACTGAATATAGTCAGCAATGCCTTACTATTTCCTTGTCTTCAGAACCGGGAAAAATGAAACTAGGTCAATGTGTATTTGTCATTACAGTTGTGACTCAGTTTACTGGCAGTGTGTGGTGTCTAAAAGAAAGAAATTCCCAACATCATTTTACCAGTAATCTTAATACTTAATTTTTATGATACTGTGATCATGTAAACAAGCTAAATGTGCGTCTGGCCTGATTCTCAGCTGGCATAAAAACTGGCATTGTCCGCTGAAGTTTGCAGAACACCACCCATCGGTATCAGCTCAGGCTGGTCACTGTGGCTCAGTGTTCAGCAGACAGCTGCCACGTTAATTGGGAATCGAGGTTTTCTCAAGAGCAGCCAGTTAATGGTATTTAAACAAAAGATTAGGAAAATAATTACTGTTTGTTAATTAGCTACGCTGATGTCTAAACATATAGTTCTGTACATATTCAGGCATGCATCTTCCTTTTGGTAAGGGTTTTGAATAATAGTGACTTGAGTTGTAAAGAAGCACATAATTTAATTTAGGGACAAATTTTACAGAAAAGTAGATTATAGGAAACATTTTGTAAGAAAAAATATTACATATATACCAAAGCCAGTGGAAGTGGCTGGCCACGTAAAGCGTAAAACAAACCAAAGTTCCTAGCCTCGCAGTGAGAGTTTACCAGAAGGGCCCACTGGACTTCATTTAGTGTGTCAATCAGTACCAACCCTCCATTTTCGTTGGTGTTTGTTTTTTCCTTAACTAAATATTAGCCTTCAAATAGCAAGTGCAGATTCACCAGAGTTTCATAAAAGCCGCACAAAAAGGTGTTTTCCATGGTTACGAACTGCTCGAGTGCACCGGTTCTGGGAGTGTCGCTGGGTTATGGCTGACTGCCCTGCAGAGCTTTAGGATATTGGAAAGTCACTTATGCAACAAAGGCAGGAGTGATGTTAGATTTTGGCCAGACTCTCTCCTTAGCTGTGTGGAGGAGAATGAAGCCCCCCCAGGCAAATGGAGTGAAAGGGGTTGGCATTTGCTCCGTTCTCCTTTCCTTTTTTGGTCTAGCAGAAAGCCCTCTGCAGAAACAGAATACAGTTACGGCCCTACCAAAAATTGGAATATGGCCCTCCTGAGGGGTGCAGGAGCCAGGAGCAGCTGTTCAATACAGCATGGTCTCCTGGGAATGAGAGCTAAAAATCACAACAAGGTGGTTAATGATTCTCAGAGCAATAGTGAAACTCTCCAGCTGTGACATTAACCAAAACATGAACATTAGTGCTGTCCAAGGAAGGAAGAGCCCCTGGAGATGCACGTCGGGGATTTGCCACTACTGGGTGGCCAGGCATGCTCTGGGAGTTGAAAATTTCAGCTGCGAATCCTATCCCTTTGGAAAGCCAGCATTTTCCTCAGTGAGATGACACAATGGAGATGGGATTCATGAGGTTTGGGAGGGTTCATTTTTCCTCCATAAAAAGCCTTTTCAATAGAACACATCCTTGATATCAGAAGCAGTCCCAAAATTATCTTATCTCAGATCTCTTCTTGATTTTGTTTGGTTGGTAACCCATAACAAACACAACACAATATTTTCTTGAACTTGACAGTTTCTGGGTTTACTATCTCATTGCCCAAAGAAAACACCACCTCTACTACATGCCAGTTGGACTTTATCACTATCATAACTGAATCTGAGTCTTAGAATCTGTGTCCCTCATTCCGATGCAGAGTCTAAGATACTGCCATCCTGTACACCATGATTTTTAATGAGCACTTTTAAACTAAATGTAATTTTCTAAGGTTCACAACTCTACATGGGGAGAAACTTAGCTATTTTCCCTTGTCGGGCAAGATCGTTATCAGTTAATGTCCCTTTGCACAAAGGAGTTTTCGTGTTAAACAGCAGTTGTGTCAGGATGGGAAGAATGATCTTGTGCCTATAGTATTGGATTCATAATCAGATTGGATTTCTCTCCCACTCTCTGCTATGCATTGACTGAGCACCCTCTGGGCAAGCCATTTTAGCTTGCTGTTCACTCCTTTCCGCATCCATAAAAAAGAGGGTGATGACTGTATCATTTAATTTGTTAGAATTTGCAGTTCCCTCTCAGATACTCAGCTGCAGAATGCATTGCGGTAGGAAATGCTGTATTGCACCACGTTCCTACAGTTAATTCTCTCGCTACAACCACACGATGGCTAAACTGACTCCTAGTCCTTTGTGAAACAGTACAGCTCATCATATCAAGCACATGTACCTGTCGTCTTGGTCTGTAAAAGAGAGACCTAGTGGTACATTAGGTTATCGTTCACCCAAATCATCTTTACGAACCAAAAGTTTATCCTTTTAATCCAGAACTGTCTGATAAATGACACACATCTATACTTAATAGAAACTATTTCAGGAAAGTATATTTTAAATTAACATTCTCCTACTGCAGGCAACTTTAAAATACATGACATTCCCAAAAGTGTTTGTTTGTCTTGTCTTTCATACAATTTCTTGCCATTTTGGCTAAATATCAAAGCTGTCTGTGTGAGCAAATGTTCTTTCTCTGCCAGCTCCTGTTTTGCTTGTTCCTGAAGTGAAGCATCATAGCAAATTTGTGGCATCACATTCATTTCCTTGGCTATGGGCTATGATGTTGCAAACGATCCTTAGTGAATTCCAGTAGCAGAAAGACTAGGCTGGGCAGGAAGAGGTTTCTATTCAAGCCCAACGGGCCAGCTATCAGCTAGTGTAAACTAGTGTAGATCTGTGCAATTCCCAGGGAGCAAAGGTGATAAAGATCAGGAGAAGATCTGCCTAAGAGACCTGGCTTCTGTTCTTTTCCATGCTTTGGCTTTTCCCCTTCCTAAAAAGGAGTTTGAAGACCCCACCACAGGCTTAGCCTATGTATACTAAAATATAGTATGACCCAGCTTTAACCAGTGAGAGCAGTTTGCCCCATCCTAATCTGAGAACAGAGTACAGGGATCAGAAGTGGTAAGACTTCCAGGAATCCCACCTCCATGTCAGACAAGGGTATTTATATGAAGACAGTAAGATATGGCTAGAAGCCATGTTGGTGGTAGTCTAAGCAACACTCAGTACTGCTCCCTTTTCTGAACCAAATTTCACCGTAACAGGAGTCACTGCTAATGTGTATTCCATGTCAACTTAATATTCTGAGCCAAAATGGCCCCTTACAATCCGCAAACATCTCGTGATATTTTACAGTGAAGTGAGACTAGCATCTTGGGAGAGTCCAGTGTAAAGCCGGCTCTGCATATATGTAGTTTTGGTCACTTCTTGGCTCTAGCAATGTAGTTATATGACCTTAAGGAAATACCAAGCTGACATCTGAGTATTTTCAGAAAGCAAGTTAAACATAGTTTGGAGCATTACAGAAGAAAGGTATACATAGTAATTCACCCAGCAAGGTTTGAGGGGACTTTTGTGCATATTATACAGTTTTCAAATGCTTTAGAATTTTTGTTTGAACAGAGAAACCATTTAAGACAGCATTCTGATGGTTTCCCTTTGATTTTCTACCAAATATCACAGGAAAAGTATCTGCCAACAGGGAACTGTAAACAAGATCTTGAGTTCCTTCCCTTCTGAGTGGAACTTACCTGCTCCAAGGGATTAAATGGCCTCTCCACTCATTCTGCTTTCCTAAAAGTAGACCAGAAGAACCAAACAACAGATGTTTGATTTTTGAGCTTTAAGTTAATTTTCCCTACTGCAGAAGGATTTTTTAGTCTTGCACAACATAGGGTTCAGTAGTTAGTTAAAAAAAACCACACCATAAAACAGTACAGAAGAATCTTAATACGTGGCACTAGCAACAGAGATTTACCCTTTGCAAATTTGTGGCTTCTTTGAATTATTAAGCAAATTAACATGGAAAAAAGGCAAGGGGAATATCTCACCAAATCTGCTCAGTTCATTTCTTCCTTGATTTGCAGATATGAGTAACAACCAGTGTACCTGTTCATACTCTAATATGCAAGCCGCACTGCAATTTGCAAAATCATCTTGGAAAGATGAATTAGTGCACTCAAAAATTCCTTTAAATCTTTGTGAAGGAAAGGTGTTCCTTGCATGATTTTTGCAATTACTAGCAAAGTGTTAGCTTTTTTTGGAGAAGAAAGCTCACCTCACTGGAAACAACTGGGAAGAATTCATTCTTAGAAGTCGGGAGTGCCTTATCTCCGCTCAGATCAGTAAGAAATGAAGATGTGCAGTTTCTGGGGTGATTTCAGGGTAAGAATTAGGAGGCATCATGAGACGCTTGTGAGACTTGGGTAGAGAAGGAAGGGAAGGATGCGGTTCTGCGTGCTCGTAAACCTGAGAACTCCTCGCCAAAGGGCTTTGTGGGATGCAGAATGTTTGCGTGGGTTCAAGGGTAGATTGGGCATTCATCAATGAGAAATCCCTTGCCAGCCATTAAATACAGGGAATCCCTGAGCTGAAAATAATCAGAGGGTGGGGAAGAATATGAGAAAGTAAATATGTGACCTGTTTCGACTCCTCCCTGTGCATCTGCTTATGGCCTCTGTAAGAGAGAGGGCAATGGATAAGGTGGAGCATTGGTCCGATTCAGTACAGTTTTAAACCAAAGGCTCCTCCAATGTAATGCCTCTTCACCGAACATTTTGCCTTCAGAAAGGCAACAGGCTTTCATCCACACAGACAAGCCAGTGTCTTCTCTGACTCTTAACTCGCTTTATTTTTCTGTAACGTTGAGGCCTGAACATTATATTTAGCCTGACTGGAATTTGGCAAGTAACTTTCCTTTTAACATTGTTTTTTGTCTCTTCATTGGATAGTTAGGTTGTCTGGGGATTTTATTCAGCAGAATTCATTCCCATAAATATATTTAAAATAGACAGCATCACTGTTTGTATTAAGGCGTCTATTTGGGTTATTTGAATTTAGATCTGAACTTGCAAAAAACTGAACAAGGGAGAAGATCGCATGGGGGATTTTCAAATGAGAGGAAGACTGAAAATGCATTGAAAGCTTTTGGATGTGGAAGTGCGTGGCATTGTGGACAGTTGTAGTGGAGAATATAATGCAACAATAAAATCATTACAGTACTTCAAGTTTGGAAGTAATCTGGGTTCTTGGCTTGCATTGCATTTAATAGCTTTACATTTATGGGAGCCACTCCAGTTTTTAAAGGCAGCTTCAGCCTTCAGACTGATTGCACTTACCACCCCAGTGAAACTGCAACCCATTAATTTTTTACCGAAAGGATCTTCCTAGTTTTTCAAACACATCAAGTGAACATTTTAGAGAGTGCAGACCACAGCAGTATGAAAACCAAAACTTTCTATCGAGAGAGAATGCTGGATTAGCATGAAATAAGGGTCTGATTCTGTTAATAAGCACTTTAGTAAATTCAGTGCTATGCAAAACTCCATTAAAACCAGAGGTACCGCATATTTGAGTGAAAACAGTCAGGCAATACCCGGCCGTACAGAAGTCTCTTGTGCTATCCCAGCATGGAAAGGCGTGCAGCGGTTCTCCTCTGGGATGGAGAGCAGCGCAGGTGACCCCAGCACATCTCTCCCTGAGCGCACGTCGTTGCCGTCCCACCTCGCAAGAAGCAGCCTGGTCCCCTGCGTGTTTATATCCCCATCATTAAGACCGAACCTTTCCAGTGTCTAAAACCAAACTCTCGCTCTCTAAAACGTTTGCACATTTCTATGTTAAACATCTGCTTAGGTGGCTCTGAGACAGTGTGTTTTGGTGTTGTTCGTGTGCAATCTAGTGCCGCTTCCTCAACGCATGTGTCCCTTCCCTTCACAGCCTACTCGACACCCAGCACCTCCCCCGCAAACCGATTCGTCAGTGTTGGACCACGGGATCCAAGCTTTGTAAATATCCCTCAACAGACTCAGGTGGGCCGCTTTCGACTTCTCTGTATGCCTGCAGCCTCTTCTTCTTCAGTGTACTCTAACGTGTCCCCGCGGAGCCAGCTGCATTGCCGCTGTCACTTCACCCACATGGTCTCAGTAACTACAGTGAAATGTCACTTGCAGTTTGTTTGTCTGTTGTGTTTTTTTGGGCTTAAGTAGTAATAACTCTGCTTTCGTAACTGGAAAGATCTCTCTTGCTTTCTAAGATATTGGCTTCTAGCGCACAGTTTTTTCCTCTAGCGCTGGGTTTTCAAAGACTTTTGCTCCAACCTGTTCCCTAGGCAGTGCATTTAAATGCATATGCGAAAGGAGCTCAGAGAGACCCATCAGGTAACAGTCCACCTTAATCCCCCACCAGATACAACGGGAGACTTCTCCAGTGACTTCCGTGTAAAAAAATAGACTCGAATGCCTGGTTGGCCATTTGCATGGTGGGCTTTGAGCGAGCAGGAGATTTTGTAATTGCGAGCACGTCTGTTTCCTTACACAAAGAGAAAAAAGTCCAGTTGAGGCAGGCCTATAAAGCTGGGTTAACTGAATTCATCGTCCTGCTATGGTCAAATCAGAAGCTCAAGTAAACATTTGTGTTGCTTTAGGAGAAGGACGAGGTTTAAATGTGCTTTTTCCAAGCTGTATCAAATTCCCAGGGTCGATTAAGAAAATAGTTGTTGGCAGTTTTGTTAGCAGCTAATTTGAGCCAGATGTTGAAAAAATTAAGTCTGTGCTTAATATCACGTTATCATGGGGGAGAAGGTATAAAAAAGTGAGCAGAACTAGTGTTCTAGGACAACTGTAGTTTGTAGTTTTAAGTGATTGCTTGACTATGTTACAATTCTTTTAAAGGTCAACAGCAAGAAATATTTGCAATTTTGTTTTGAGCTGGTTGCGATGACTAAAAAGTAGTAATTCAAATAGCTAGCAAATTGGGGAATACTCTTAGGTCTTGTAAGTTCTTTCAAAATCGTTTATATGCATCTGAATAATTATGAATAAGAATGGCTGTCACATGCCACAGTCCAGTATATGCATGAAGACAGACTCCTCGTTGCGATGGCTTCAGCGCCTACACCGTCCATGAAACACAAGTCACCCATTACCAAAGATTTTCAGTTTACAGGGCTGCAATCAGATGCCTGTGAACACAATGTGTTTTCTTGCTATCTGTTCTTTGTGTACAATTTGTTAGGGGCTTTAGTTTATAGCTCTGTCGACAGCACAGGTTAAACTACATCGAATCTCAAACCTTCTCTGCATTAAATAGGGTCACAGAAAGTACACCAGCACTGCAGAGTGGGGTTTTAACCCATCCGGTTCTGATTTTTTTTCATGCCTTAACAAAATGCAGCCTGCACCCCACTTTTCAGGCCTCTTCCTTTATTTGGTTCATGTACGTGACAAGTTTTCATGCGCCTTCACATTTAAATCGTATTTCTCCAGTTGTTTTGGAAACAACTGGAATATACACAAACACGCTGAAATCGGGAAACAGGAATGTTAAGGTATACTGTTAAAGTCCTTAAGCATTTGGTCTTTTCCTTCATAGCTCAGGAAACTTGAAACCCTTTGGAGAATGCTACCTACCTTTTCCAGAAGACTTGAAAAACTACTAGTTGGTAAACTGATTATGTAGTCAGACACAACAGTATTAAGTCTCCAAAATATTTTAAACTTATTTGCATTCTGCAGTCTAGGTTTCCCAGATAAGTTTGTTGACTGTAAACTTTTATCCTCCTTATTTATGACTTAAATCATTTTAAAGTGCTCTAGCCTTACTTTAAGTGCTTCTATGTAATGCAGTATAGTGAATAACAATGCTGTACAGTGAAAAACAATACCCAAGCACAGCTTTCAATTAAAGTCAAACATGCTGCAGTGGGTAAGGAGACTGACTTCCAGTCTCTGACTCCAGCTGCATCTCCGTACTTCTTCTGTACATCATTACACCACCACAACCCACTTGATACTAAATATATAATTTATCAGCAAAACTCACTACTTATTCATGAAACAACTCTGAAGTTGACTGTGTTTTAAATCAGAGAAGTGAGGTAAAAATACTAACACCTGCAATAATTTGGGATTTACTTAGCATTCCCCTAAACAAAGACATGCTTTTGTACTCTTCTTGCAGGGCATTCGTGTATAGGACGATCACTTAGGATATTTGTGAAATGAAAATATAAAAACACATAGGACTGTGTTATTAAAAGCAGCTGGGGTGGCTGCTTTCCGTCAGGATTTTTATAGTACATTCAGAGTCAGCCTAAGATATGGGTCCTGAGGACCACTAACTGCCAGGCCACACAGCTCCCTTAGACAAGAGGAAGCAGTGAACATTCAGAGCTTCTGAAAGTCGAGCTTAAATATCAGGGTTGAGCAACTCTTTACTGCTGGAACAACAAAATAAAAATGAAGACTGTATCTGAACATCTGCTTTTTTAAAATTATGGTCCAGCTACAAGCTATAAGAAAACACTATGGTCAGCTTTTTGGTGGCCCTGATTTTCTCTTCCAATTGGTGGGTCATTTGACTGCAGGCACTAGTTACACAGCATCGTTATTAGTCTTAAAATGCTGCAAAAGTGAGTCTGTGCACAGGGATGTGGCAGCGCCGTTCAGCAGAAGTCGCATTTCCCATACATGGGCATTCACAGGCTTTCACAGAACATTGGAATAAAATCGCAGACAAATGTACAACAGCATGGCTGGGTTTGAGCAAGGATCATTCTGTCCTGGGCTGTTTTTAAACAACCAAAACCAGCACATGCCTTTCTTAATGGGCATTATAAAAATTAGCAGTAGACATTTCCATTAGCAGCATGTTCTGATTTATGTGACATTGCTTCAAATATAATCCCTTAAAGGAATTTTATAGAATTTATATAATATTTTATTTAGAAAAAGGCCATCTTCCTGTGTCAACAAAGGTTGTAGCAGGATGACAACTCCATGACAGGAGAGACCAGGAAATAAACTGATTTAAGTCAGTACTTCTGATTCAGGAACAAAAGGCCCAAAAGGGCTGTTGGCTTTGTCTGGTTTTAGCAGCTTCAAAACTTTTCAGTTGGCTTGTTTTTTCATACAGTGCCTCTGCTTACCCCATCCATCACTCTGCCACTCCAGCGGCTCACCACATAATTGTCCTATCTGGGGGGTTATTTGAATCTAAATTTCTGTTTGAGCTATTAGAAGAAACACTTGACTTGGCATCCTCTGTATATGTTGACAAAAAGGCACAGGTGTTGTAACCTTTGCTTGATAAATCATTTACTTTTGCTGCTTGACTCGCAAGCAATATGGGGGCATCAGCTTTTTAACTGCCTTTTCCATATGCAAATCAGAAATACAGTATGCTTGGGGTACACAGTCTTTAGTTTCAAAAGCAGGCTGGTCTAGATACCTCATGACTAAGTAACAGATACGTCTCTCGTATTGCCAAGGACTTGTAATAAGGAGAATGGTAGAGGAATGGGAAAGTACCATCACATTAATTAGGGACTAGCCTATCAGTAGCAACAATGCTAATAAAGAATAAAGGGTTCTGAGTTTTAGGGGGTTTTTCATCCTAACCAAGCGATAAAAGTAATTGTGAAACACAGGATATGCACTCAGAGTACGTGCAGCTGGTAACGCTAAACTAGCAACCTGCTCTTTGTGCCTGGAGTTTGCGTTGTCGCTCGCTGCTCTAAACGGTGCTTGCTGATCTCTGATGCCCTCACTTTGCTCTATAGTACAAAATTCCTTTAGGGATCATAAGTATTCAGTGTGCTGCAGCTCCACTTCACACTAAACATTGTTTACTAGGCTGAGTCCTGTTTGCCACCTACTTACCCTACATCTTCCTGGAAATTGTACTTCGGATGCTAAAAACAGCTGCTGAGCAACACATGCCTGCTCCATCTAATCACTCCTACCTGCCAGTAGCCCGTGTGCCTTACACAGTGAGGTTACGAGGATGCACAGAACAGAAACTGCCTCCCACTGCAGGCACCCAGGCAGAGGATCAACTGCTTTACCACCTGTGAGAAACTAAATGGCTTTCTCCTCTGCTTAAGGGAGAAAGTGTATCATGCACCCTCTTGACCAGCTGTTTCAGGAAAAATCCCTCTCTAATGTAAACAAGCTTTATATCAGATCCATCCCAGCTAGTTTCTAAAACTTAGTTAAGTGCAAAACCAAATATTTATTCCCTTACCTTTCTCTAGGAAAAGATAAAACTATTTTCTAGAACAGAAGTAGGAGCTCTTCCTGCTTCCACCTTTGCAGGATCCCAAAGCTACAGTCAGATCATGGATAGTAAGCCAAGGTCTTGCCTTTTCACACTTGCCCTGGTGGGGCCCTAGAGCCACTCAGCTACAACAGTGCTCTAGATAGATAGAGCTCATCCTTTATAACACAAAGCAATTGAAACAAAAGGCCTATAACTTACCTAGCACACCATGATAAAGAAAAACCCCAAAAGCCAAAGAAGCTTATCTAGGCAGCAAAATGACAAGTACGAAAACCAGCAAGCTCAGAAAAGCAGCCATGCTCTTGCTGCCAGCCTTATAAAGACCAGGTACAAAAGTGCACGCTGTGAAACACATCTATAAAAGAGTAATGCTGCCCCATAGTAAGTTAGGGGGGAAAATTACTGAAGTTTAGCAAAATGTTTATAGTATGAGGAAATTGCTAACTTTATATCTGTTCCTGTTCTCTGCCTTTTCTGAATTAGACACCGGTATCTTTGTAGCTTCTTTTAGGCTTTTATTTATCTCTAAAAAACCACCTTATGCCTCAGGTGCATATACAAACCTAATTGTACAATTACTTTCTTTTCGAGAGACAAGGGAAAGACTATTTCACTTCCCCACAACCCTTTTAGAAAGCAAACTGCAAGCTGCAATTTTTCACTGGCAGCACTTTAAAACAAAGGGCACGAGAAAAAAATGAGCTTTATGCTGTGTCCTGTAGGTTAGCAGATGTGAGCTCTGTCAGACTAG